CCGTTAATGTGTACAGCCCGATATCATTTCTGCTATGGATTCTCTGTCAATGATGTTCTTGCTGCTGAAGTGCAAATATGATGTTTTCATATTGGTTTTACGTTCGACATTCTTGACACAGAACTGGTTTTCTAACACTTGTTTTTGGACGATTTCAACACGTAAGAAATGAGGAAAGTACGTTAATTTGCTTGTTAAAATGTCTGACCCGTGAAAGCCCACCGCTCTGGCCGATGATCCCGCTAAAAGCCCGCTGGTTCCTGCGGGCAAGATACTAGCGGGCTAGCGGGTTGGACGGTCGCGTCTCTGGTACAGATGCCCCCCCCCCCCCCTCCCAAGAAAAGTCTAAACCGAACACAACATGACGACTTCAATGCGGTAATGCCCAGGCAGCATGGAACTCCTGCCAATCCTGCCAATGTTAGAAGACGCCACTGCCAAGGCACAGAAACGTCTCTACACGGCAGAAAAACTGCACTTACCCCGAGGCGACATCTCCCGTCACAGCCCGATAATTTCCCCGGCCCCCGAGCGGTGATCGTCTGCGTGCGGCGGCGCGTCCAGCCGCGTGCCGGCCGGCTCATCACGCGGGAGAACGGGGGGGGGGGGGTCGTCCGTCAGGGGGGCGGGGCGGGGCGCACGCACAGGATGGCTGTCCGCTGCGCGGCGCCTCGGGCTGGGGCGGGTCACGCCAGCTGACACTCGTTGTCAGTCGCCCGGTCTGGCGGGCGGCCAGCGGCGGCCGCCGGCCGTGTCGGGCGCCGATAGTTGGGACTGGTGGGGGCGGGGGCGCTGACAGACGCCCGCGGCAGCAGGCGAGGTGCTCTCGCAGCGAGATGGGCCGATGACTGGTGTCAGCTCGGTTATGTGCTTCGGCAGCGGCGCGTTCAGGGCAGAGAAGGGGGAGGTCGGACGGCTCATTCACGGTATGGATGACATACTAACAGGTTCGGGTGTCCCCTCATCAGGGGATTATAACTCCCAGGAATAGCCACCATAGTAAACGATAATACCCGTTACATAAGGACCAGAAAACCCAAAAGACCGATAACTCCGCGTGCATTCCAAATGTGTCGGAAGTCAAGTTCTGCTCGATAAACGCGTCCGATAGAGTTTCAAGTATATCCCCAAGACGTCATCACGGGAAGCTGCAGCTTTTGATTGATTTATGTTCGTTGGAATATTTTTCGTGCACCCGGCGGCCCTGGAACCATAAGTTCCCTATTTCGAGCCGATGTTACCAGCTCAAGCGCATTAAATCACACGTGCAGCGTGCAGATCCTAACCGGACCAAAACGCTCAAGATGGTGGAAAAACATGGACAATGTTATCGGGCCTAGACCGCGAAAGCTGGATTCAAGTGGTACTTAAGGGAACGTTTCACAGCTGTGTGTGGTTTTAAATTCAGATAGCCAGCCAGTTCGTATTGCAGAGCTATATCCACGGTTATGACCTTATTACGTATCCAAACGCTTTGGTTACCCAGCTTGCATGCAATTTCTCCTGATGATGATGTTGATTGGGTTGTAGGGCGTGCCGACTGCCTTGGTCATATGGCGCCCATCACGTCATTTATCAAGGGCTATTCAGCGTCCCCGATACTGTCACGTGACCGGGAGGCATCAGGCCACCAGGAACGACAAGACCGAAGGCCAACGGCCAGCCGACAACCGCCGCTGCCGGTCGGAGACTGGTTGGGTGTGACGTCATGCGCGGTATGACGCAATGCAGCCTGAAGACTTTCCTTCGACACATTGCGACAGCCCCGGCATTCAAAAAAGCTCGCCCTCCCCTATTTCAATTAATTTGAAATCTGACGATTCAGCCTATTTAGTATGCTCCCATCAATGCGGCAGAATGAAGGTAAGTCAAACTGTGAATAAGTGCAAAGCTGTCATAACCGCCAAAAGCTGCCAAAATATATCCTGTCCAAGACGTGATTGTGATGGTGATGTGGCGAATTTCGCACACTTTGGCGAGTCACGCACCGATAAAACTTGACAAGTCGTAAAAAGTGTGCTGCTCGGTATGCAGTATGTCAAGCATATTGTCACATTGCATGCGATGCCAGTTCACCTGTAGAGAAGCCTAAATCCTGCAGAACTATCAACGATATTTTGGAGCGCGGCGAGTCTGAAATACATTCGCTTTCAGCAACGTGTTCAGGGCTTCCAAGCTTGGAAGAATTGGTTGTTCTAAGTGGATGTGGAATGAATTGGGTCGGAATACTGACATTAAGCAGCCGTCAAAACTACTTCTGATTATTTTTGGGGGGGATCCCCGCGGTGGTCTCACACCGTCTTTTGGCGGGGTCCACAGGTCTGCAGATCTGCCACGGGCCTAAGTCCGCAGAGCTGCAGAAGAGCTGTTTTGGCCAGCAATACCTAGTCGACGAAAAAGGTGGCCGAGCAACCAACGCAAGCCAGAAGCTGATTCTGTCCCTAGCCCCCGGCACAGCAGATACTCCATGACATTTGACACCAAACAGGGCCGTGAGAATGTCGCAGGATGACAAGGCGTTTGTCGGGTTGCCAGCCGAAAACGGCGTCCCAGAACTCAGCCCTTGAATTCGGTGGCTCATTAGCTCTCAATTTCATTTACAGCAGCGTAGTCCGCACGGCGTCTGCCCTCACACAAGCAGGACAAAGCAGACGACGAACACAGCGCCCGCGAATGTGTGCGGATGTTTTGTGCAGACTTCTTCAAGGTCACCCAGGCATGCATGGCTCTAGAAAGTTTACTCAATACTGTCACCCCATTGGCCATACGGCGTTCAATGCCAAAACATACATAATTGTCGAGGTATTTGGGTCTGGCGTATGTGAGCACCATTTGTGGAACAAGAGGTTTTCAATTGGCTCTCAACCGATGTTATGCATTCTGTGCACGCCTCAAACAGGAATCGCGTTTTGTGCTGCATAATACAGGACGCTGAAGAGTGGTTCTAGCTATTACGTGAATAAAAGTTGTCACTGAATAACTTGGATATAACTTAGATATAGCGCACATGGTTTATGTAGCGCTGGCTCCCGTTTACAGGACATAGCAGATATAGGACAACTTGGAATACCATCACGACTGGGCATGTGAACGCAAGTTAACAATGCGACGACAAACGTGCAAATTATCGGCCTCTGTCGTCAACTTTTCGCAGACCTCCCGCAACCTCCTCCCACAATCCGATGTTCCTTCCGGAGGAGGTTGAAAGAGTTTCGCAGCGATCCAAGGAGAGTTTTGAGCAGCTTGGAGGGAGTTTAAGGAGCCACGGGAACAATCAGATGAGTTTGGATGAGCTTGGAGGAGGTTTGATGTGACCACGGGAACAGACACTGGTAGTCTACATGCGTCGGCTGACCACGGGAACACCGCCGCGACAGCCGCGTGCTCCAGCTCAACATATCCCCCACCGGACCCCGGCTGGCCCGACTGGATTGCAACAGATGCTCACCGCAAAGTGGGCGGCGCGAGTGAGTGAGCGAGCGAGCGGTCGGGCCGCGGCGCCTGATCGAGGGGTGGTGCCGGTTCTGGTTTAAAGACAACCGGCGTCAGTCCGTTCAGCAGGGCGTGGCGAGCGCCGGCGGAGCGGGTCGTTGGCGGTGCGGCCGACTATCCGACTGCGGGCAGCCCGCTCACAGCGTCGCGACCCCGGCCCAGTGTGACACAGAAAAGGTCGCGGAGAACGAGGTGGAGTCGTCCCAACAGCAACGCTTCTCCGCAGAATCCCTCAGTCGCACCGACCGTTCGGGGCAGAGCTACTATTTGTTGGACTGTGGCAGAGGATTTGCCGGCCATTGTGGAAAATCTGATACGTGATTGGTTAAGCTGCTCCCAAACCGAAACGGCATCAGCCCAAAGCTCGTTGCTAAATTACACCTCGCAAGTTCTTGGAGGTTCTGAATGTCACTGCTAAAAGCTTGAAAGCTGGTGACAGGGTCACTGCAGCATAGCAAAAGTGAAATCCCCACCAACTTATTGGCCCCAAGCTCTGTACAGCAAAACTTTGGAAAACCTCAATACACGACAGTTGCGCGCTTCCAGCGAACACCAAACCTTTTCACGCCGCAGCTTTGAGTGGCAAAAATCCAACGTCGAACGAGAGGCTCCCGGCAAGCCAGCGGCAGCCCCATTCGATACCAGTTTTCCAGCTGAGCGCTCCACTCCAGTTCGTTCGGCTCAAGGCCCGACTGTCTAACCATATGGGCGTCTGGAGCCAACACGGACAAAACCAGGTCATCTCGGGATGTCGGACACTGCAGCGCGCCTGAACACGACGGCACCACCTCCTCGGTTAGCCGTGACGGCGAAATCATCATGCAAATGGCGCCGGCGTGCCACGCGGCCGACTAATGCGCCATTCTGAGCAAGTAAGCGCCAACACTTGGACAACTGACCACTGCGCTCTGGCCGATAGCACGACGGCTAATGCAATTGGGGGCGGTGGGCGGTCGTGGCGCGTGAACCCTATCGGTTAAGATTCGTGGGCACTTCCGCTGAGTGGTGCGGCGAAGGACCAAGCCAGCACGCCGCGTCGCGACGCGGCAAGGAGCCGCGCGGAAGCGCGGTGACGCCGTGCCGACTGGGACGAGTCCGGCACGTGGGAGGCCGCCACCCCGCACCCTCTCCCCGCTCCGATGTAATCAATAGTCGGCCGGCGACGGCCGCGGCCACAAGCGCCCGACCGGAGCGCGTCCCGCGCTGGCCGCGGTCGCACGAACAGCGGCGCGGCGAGCGCTGACCCCGCGCGCACGCCCCGCCGCGGACGAGCACCGCATTAATCACACCCCTGAAATAGACGGCGCCCGGTGCCGGCGAGCGCGGCGCACGAACGGCACGCCTCCCGAGCGACGCCGCGTCCGCGCGCTACGCTCCCGGCGCCCACCCGCGCCGCCGCGGCACCGTCGTATGCGCCGCCTGAGTCCAGCCCGGTGCAGGGAGGCTTTCACCGCGCGCTGGGAGCCGCCCGCCCATTACGTTTGCGGTCGGCGCCACTGACGACTCACCCGTCGGAAGTCCTGAATGGTGCAGATGAAGTACGGCTGGTCTTTCTGCTGGCTCTCGATGTACACTGAGTCTGAAACGGGGGAAGGACGGCGGTCAGATGGGACAAATTCCAGGCAGGTGGGTTGGGCACGGCTGTGGCCAACGGGGCGTGAGCCATGAGCTGACGCCGGTGCCAAAAATACCGGCGTGTTTGGATTTCATGCGTTCACGGATTCCAAGCACTACCAATCCCCACGAGTCACCCATCCCCCTACTCCTGCCGCTGACACAAACGTGGTTTGATTCGATGATGTTGGCTAATGGACCTCTGACATTTGACAGCGAAAGCACCGCTGAGCGAAGAGCAGAAGCCGCCATGATTTCAGCTCTCACTCATCTGTCAACGCGGATAAGCTGCAAAGCGAAGGATGTAAGGAAGCCGTCGGTGCTCACAGTATTATCACATCGCAACAAGCCGGGGGCAATTATGCACGGAGGATTTTTATGACACAAAGAGAAGGCTCATTACCGCGAAGATACATGGTGCGGTCGTGTCCCAACTTTTCCGTCTTTTTAACGCTGACAATATCCCGGCCCAGCATTCCACCACGAAGGAGAATCGCTCGCCAAGACTTGTGCAACAATACTGCATCTTCTCAGACCACCAATTATCTGAATATCATTGCATACGAAAGGCACATCCACTGTACGGCACAAACTGCGATTATTCAAGTGTGGCGCCATGGTATGTGGGATCAGTTCAGGCTAAGGAAGGTGATATGCCCCAGACACGCAACTAAACCGGCGGACGGAATTCAAGAAAGGATGGACACTAGACCTGCCTCATTTGAGACCACAGGCCCGCAACGCGCGGGCTTAAAAAGTCCGCAGGGCTTCTAGCGGGTATTGCTGGATACATTAGGACTGACGGGTATTCCACATCTAAAACTATTCCATTTGTACTCTCTTGGACACAAATTTGCATCTGATTAAATAAAAATTGTTGGTGACAAAATCTGATGGAAAAGAACCTCTTTGAAATAGAGGTTGCATTTAGTTATAAAATTTTCCAGTCACGCAATGCATGACATTTCTTAAATAGATAATCCATGACAATCTGTAGCTTCAGTGGCACACTATTATAGCATAATGACTGTCCAACCCACAGTTAGGTATAACTACTTACTATGCGCTCTTACAGGAGGAAAGTTCAAACCAAGAACAAGAATGAGTCTGAAAAAATCCCTTTTAGCGATGCATTCTGACATGAGTGTATTTTTACATCCAAGTGGATGGGCTCCAGCTCCGTCCCCCAACAACAAAACACGTAGCCGTTTCTCACTGCCTAGCCCGACTCGAGCATAGTCTGCAAAACTACGCTCCTAGATTTTGCATACCATATGTGAAATCAATCACAGGCTACTGAGAACACAGGTGCATGCAAACACACGATAGTTTGTAGACGTATCTGATGGATGGAACTACACAGGACATGTTCAAACAGCGAGCACCATCCAATGTCTAGATTGAATTGAAAGTGCATTGCAATTGCAATTCCAAAACATGCCTGTGAAATCCATCGCGGTATACCAGTTCAGCCTGTTATAGCTCAGACCTTATCTGCAAGGAGGTAACTTTTATAGAAATGCTACCTGCTGTATGCATACGCTGGTTTGGTGTAAGGCCAGGCCTAAAATCACACCAAAAAAATGGCCAAACCATCCCAGCGATCCGAGTAAAGCTTCGAAATAAAAGCACGGAAGGAAACCGGCGTACAGAGGTCGGCAAAGGTGTGTCTATGTTGTCAGCTGTTCAAGGGGCTCATCTGCATCTTAGAACGGTTTTTACGTGGCGTGCGGACGAGGTCGTATTTGCTAGTCACTTTTGAGTGGATCATCAGCTCTTCATCGACCAGGCTGGCGTCATTTATTAGCTTATGGCAGGCTCGTCCTTCACTAAATACTATGCTCGCCTTCTGTATCGTTCATTTATTTTCTAAGAGGCACTGAACATTCCGAAGCTGGTCGGCATCCTGTGTATACTCGTACTAGATGCATTTGCAGTATAAATCCAGCATGAAAAGAACAGTTTTATGGTTGAATTCTAAGCCTCGTTACTGAACAAAGCAAAGTGCAGGCAGCCATCATTCCGGTACTTACTGCTGTTTCTGGAATTGGAAAGTTTGTTGTTGTAGCGCCTATTGGCCATGGACAATACTGTTCGTTACATTCTGTTGGTAGCATGTAGTTTTGTGTGGAGCGACCTATTTTTCGGTGTAGATGCCAGTGTTTCCCTGTGAAATTGACAGCTTGGACAGTTTAAAGTATGTACTACTTTTGGGGTTTCGATGGCCAATTTTCGTTTACAAAAGGCATGTCTACATATGTACACTCACATAAAATTCGTCATACAAGCCCAGGCAAATGCAAATTCAGCCTTGGTCTTTGCATTATCAGACAGTTGTGGTTGTTTGATTTATATTGTTAGCTCCTTTTGAAGAGCCTTCTGGAGGACCAAGAGGATTTTGTGCTGGAGAAAGGGGATGTTATGCCTGGGACCAGGGATGATGATATTTGGGTTTAGGGGCACTTCAACTGCCTCGATCATTTTGCGCCATTGTGACCAGGAAGACCGCATGTGTTGGCTCTTCAGCAGTCTCTTCAAAATGAGCCATAGTTCCAGATTTTGAAATGAGTAAAATGCAACAACTTCAATCAGTGTAAGTTTGTGGAAAAAGGTGAGAGAATAATTGTTCGCAGGTTTATGGATTATTGTGGCAACGTCTTTACTGTGATACGGTTCAGTGTGTGTACCTGAAATGAAAAATAAGATCACTGAGATTAGCTGTGGCAACAACGAACAAGAGGGAAGAGTTTGCTGGTGGGTTGTTTACAGCGTCCTGTTTTGGCACTGATAATATAAGGTTGAGTATGCGTACCTGAAATAAAAACAAGGTTGGCGGGCCCATGCGGCCTTTTTGGGGAACTAGCCTAGCGGCGCGGATGAGGGTTTTTCATATTCGGGCTCGGGGCGGGCGCAAGTATTCCAAATATCAAAAAGTGGCAGCTCTAATGGGTGCATTGCTGAAAGGCAGCAACTTTATATTGAGACTGATAGACGAGTCATGCATATCGGTTTTAACCGCGCCTGGCTGGACGATGCGATCATCGCCCCGCAATCGGCGGCGTAGCTCACCGGAAACAACGATTCAGCGCATTTCGTGTCGTAGTGATATTAGGTCCGGCAGTTCCCAGCGATTCATTCGTGTTCACTGCAGACATTTTCACCGAAGACTGGGAACAGGCCATAACTAACCCGTAATAAAGCAATTGTCGGCACAACACGTTTCGAACCACAGCGTTTCTCGGCGCGGTGCATGCCGCCCGCGTTCGTCTGACGTTTCAAACAAGCCGTCTGCCAGCTCGGAATGTCTTCGTCTTTTGCCTCAGCGACCGCAGCTGACATGGTGAGCCGACCCACGAAAAGTGGACATCGTCGGCTGCTCCCGGTCTTTTTGCCCACTTTCCAATCCTGCTGTGGCTGTCATCCATGTCGTGTCACGTGTATCACGAGCTGCCGACGGCAGTTTGTACGTCGAGTTCGGCGCACCGTCAAGACAATGGACAACGGGCGAGACTTGGAGCGGCCGACCCGGCCGGACTCTGGACTTCCTTGCCTCCAGTGATATCATCCGGGTGATTCCCCCAACACCCCGCCGCATCTGGGCCAGTCGCTCCCCGCCGGCGTCCAGGCGCTGCGCCACCACACGCCATGAGCGCTCACCGCCCGCCGGCCGCCAGATCGGGCACCCCGCGGCCGGCGGGCTGGGGCCGCCCCTGCTCGAGCGCTCGGCCGAGACCGCGCCCGGCCGGCGGCAGCATGGGCGCTTTGTCGCGGCCGACCGCGCCGACCCGGCCACCTCGGCCAGGCCGCCGACAAAGGGCGGGCCCGCCTCGCGCTGCTGGGGTGGCGGCGGAGGCCGGCAGGCCGGCGGAGGCGGCCACGTGGGCGGGCTGCGCCACCTCTGACGTGGCAGTCGCCGGACGCCGCTGACAATTAGCGCCGGAGGTGTCGCCGGCCGGCAAAAGGCGGCTACGGGTCCCGGTCGCCGCTGCCCCATCCCCCATGCTCCACTCGCCGGCACGAGGTGATTGGCCGGGCCGCGCTCCGTCGACAAGTGTTCGTCGGCCGCGTCGGCGAGGGCGTCGACGAGCGTCATGATCCGACGACGATGCACGAACCGTCGGCCGCTCGCGGCGGGGCCTCCCGCAGCCCGTCGCCAGGCGCGCCGCCAGGGACGCCGAGCGGGGAGGGAGTATGCGGGACGCGCCCGGCGGTGACTCGCGGCGATTATGCGAGAGACAGGCAGCCTGTTTGGTGGCAGTCACTTTATAAGATATCTCCTCGTCATCCCACTGGCGACGCCTCTGTCTCACGCTGGTGGCAGTGGTAGGCTTGGTGGCGACGCTAGAGGTGGTTTGGGGTTTAGAGGGCGTGTTCCACATTTGTATCGAGTTTTGAACTGAAATAAACATCTTCAAGAGCACTCAGTGCAGTTCACAGCCCTGCCCTTCCTGGACCCCAAACTTCCTAAGTTTCTGAGTTATTCGCACGCGAGGCTGTGCACACTATTTCGTGCAAGACTATTTCGAGGCTTTTCAGGCACGCATGACGCCATAGAAACGTTATTCATCTAGCCACCCCACAGGCCATGTGATGTTCAAGATCAGGAAAACAATATCGTCGAGCCATTCAGATCTGGCATTCGTGAACATGATTTTCTAATAAAGTGGACACCAACAGCCTCCAATCAACATTGACCAGGTTGTGCAAGTTTCAGTCACGAATCACGCATTACCCTACATAATAGAAGAAGTTGGGACATCCTTACCAGTTATTACGGAAATGAGACCATGTAATCGAAAAACTTAACAACAGCGCCGTACTCGGATATGTGAATACGAATAATCCTCTTATTCTATAGGGACCAAAACACGAGCACATAACACTACTTGGTTCAGCAACACCTCCAGTACCGCCAAGGGCACCTCTCGGGAGACTGAAGCGCAAGTGAGTGCTAGGGAGGCAACT